TATATATATATATATATATATATATATATACAGAGAGAGAGAGACAGTGAAACAGACGTTATATACTGTAGGAAGGGGTCGGAGGGTCCATTCATACAGAACTCAGGCCTGGACTATAATTTGTGCCTGACAATCTTCAGTTTCTTTGAGGAGATTGACACAAAAAATTCCTCCAAAGTGATTTGTCAAGGGCCTGTTCAAAAATCACACCACCTCCAGACACCAGTGTGGCAGGAAGATGAATCTGGTGATATTTCGTACAAAACCTCCCTGTGATTATGTTCACTTAGGAAGGAGCAATATAGATAAGGATGGAGGGAGAGAGAGACATGCAATTTTTAGTGTTTTGATGATTAGTATCCATGGGAAACATCACAACATATGCAGCACTGAAAAGGTTATGAATCGTTTGAATTCAATGCATTTATTAAGTTATCGCTTGCTTCCTCCATGCATTTTGTTTGTTTAGTAGAAATGCGTTTAAAAAGATCTGTTTTAAAAATGAACTCTTGACTAACTTGACTAAATCAAACAGTCACAATAAACAAAACTGTAACAAATAAGGCTGAGACATAACCATGCACGCACTAAGTGTGTAATATGCATGACTCTATGCATGTTTAAACACAACATTAGCTCAATAAACTCATTTTTAAAGAGACAATTTGGCATTTTATAGAGATACCTTGACGTTTTGTGTTTGTGCATCTGATCTCTGCATGTTAACCACATTCCTCACTTCAAGCTCACATGTTATAGACTAAGCCCCAAAGCAAAGGTGGTCATTAGACATATACTTTAAAGCAAGGGGTGTTTAGTCAGGGCAGGAATGCTTTATTATAAGCCTTGTAAATCAAACCAGACTTTCTCCTCTTCAGCCTGAGGATGTATTTTCTTGAGAAATACACAAAGCACTGAGGCTGATGTTAATTCTGTCTCATTTATTCTTAACAGAGGTGAAAGTCTGTCGAGATGTTCTCAATGTAAGACGGCCCGGTACTGCAGTGTTCAGTGTCAGGTAAGAGCTCTTCACACATGCTGTTGGGTCCTAACCATCAGAGAGCTTTACAAACAAGCTTATGATGAGATCTTATTTCAGTGTAAAGATTTAAGATTACATTCAGTTATTTTCAGGAAAGGATTTGCACCTAAAGAAATTAAGAGTGCTTTTGACAAATGTGACCCTGGATCACAAAACCAGTCATAAGGGTCAATTTTTTTCGAAATTGAGATTTTTATGTAATCTGAAAGCTGAATAAATGAGCTTTCTATTGATGTATGGTTTGTTAGGATAGGACAATATTTGGCCGAGATACAACTATTTGAAAATCTGAAATCTGAGGGTGCAAAAAAATCAAAATATTGAAAAAAAATCGCCTTTAAAGTTGTCCAAATGAAGTTCTTAGCAATGCATATTACTAATCAAAAATTCGGTTTTGATATATTTACGGTAGGAAATGTACTAAATATCTTCATGGAACATGATCTTTACTTAATATCCTAAAGATTTTTGGCATAAAAGAAAAATGTATAATTTTGA